TCAAATTTAGCATTTTGCATTTAAAATTACAAAGTTTAAAAACAGCTTGTATACCTTACAATTTAATTTGCTTCGACTTTTATTCAATAAAATAACAGAAAGCAATAAAAATTATTTTTTACATGAAATTATCTCTGTATAAATTATAATAATGTGCAAAAAATTACTGATATATGGTGAAACTAACATTAAGGGGTCCAAATTTTCAATGACTCTTCTGACTAAACTGTTGATACCATATTTTCCAAATTGCGACTACTCCCATATTATTATGTTTGAAAATCCATATTCCATGAAAAAAGGCATGCTTATTCTGAGGTAGTACGCTTATGTGCATCTGATTCTATAATTTAATTAATAGTTAGCACTAATTACTTACCATATTTGAGGTAAATTCTTCGAAACAATATTCTTAATTAATTAAAAACACTTAATTCGGAAAAGAACCAGATCATTCGAACAAAAGTTATGTAGGGTGATTTCATTTTTATTTTTCAGCTTTTCTAGGACTATATTTAATCTTATTTTAAAATATATAATATTAATACAAAGTATATATAATATTTTTTCGCATGCTTTGTATATAATTCAGTTTTAATTTTTAACAGACTCATGTAAAATTTTTTGAGCTAGAATTTCTGTAAGTAGAGTCAGACAAACAATAGTTGACAGACATATATTTCACCATATTACATAGACATATATTATGCCTATATCTCAACAAAACATTTTATAGTTGTTGAAATATAGGCATTATTTGAGTTTCCAGTTGTGATTAGCTATACTTTACTCACGGGGCACGTCCTTTCTTACTTTGCTTTGAAGATATGAGGTTTGTTTGAAACATTTATGGCACTTCGAAAGTTCGTCACGAATTTTTAAAAGTCGATTGAATTCAAACTGGATTCTGTGCATGTTGTTCGATAAAAGATAATGGTGCGTAGGAAGCGATTCCATACGTATCTAATGAATTTTAATTTAAATATTTATTCAAGTAATTCAATTTTTTTCATTGTTATCAAAATATTGATTTATCTAAGAGTATTCAGATTTTCTGAATTTTGAATTCGAACTATTAAAAATTATTATTTTTAAAGATAAAAAAGTTAAGCATATAATTGTTAAAAAATATTCTGTGAATACTTTTAAAATTGCTTCTTTCACGTCAAAATTGTGCATCCATGACAAAGGTTGCTGCATGAGCAAAGTTCGTAAAGTGAACCACAATAAAACTTTATTAGCTTCAAAAATATATAAATTGGAAATAAAAGTCGACATGTTTGAAGGTGCCAAAAAAGACGCCCATTTTAAGGACTTGCCAGACGCGATTGAGAAAAAGTAAAAGTGTTCTGAAATGTAAAACGTAAAGTTGCCAACGAAAAATGGAAATATAAGGGTGAGGAGAGCACAGACGCAGTAGTAGAAAAGAGAGGAAAAACAGAACAAGAAAAACACTAGTGGCTGAGAGAGGCAAATCAAGGTAAAATGCTTTTCCAAGTACTATGAAGGATTGGTAAGGAACTAATGTCACTAAAAAGGGAGCAAAACAAAATTCCATAATATCAAGATGAGTTGATGGGATTGAGGTGGAAGTAATTTTGGCATTGTTGAAATTGAATTTATGCCTAAAGCGGCCCAGACACTGAGAAGCCAAGCGATAAGAAAGATATATACAGATGGAGAATTGCTATACTTTTGCGTTGGGATGCGCAGAGGTGATTTGCGCATGCTAATGCAAACGTGTAGGAATCTTACTCTCGTATATCTCCTACTTACGCTTGTCTCCTCTCTATATGTCCTGCATAAGATTCTAACAATGAGAAGCAATTAATGTTTTTTCGAATTCTTGATAACTGATACATGGATCGTGTTCCTATTTTATAGCGCGTCTAGTTTGTCTGATGTATCTAAGGTCACACTGACAAGGAATATGCCATAGTGATTATCAAAACTGATAGGAAATTTAAGAGAGAACCACCTCATCATAGCGCATGGAAACGCATTTTACCTGATTTTTCCCCTCTCGGTCACTATTTTTCATATTTTCTCTCTCTCCACTGCATTGGTTTTTCTCATCTGGTTCCGCAACTTTATTTTTCTTTTTTTAGTTGGCAATTTTACGTTTTATATTTCAAATCACTTTTGTTTCTTTTCATTCACGTCAGGCAAGTCTTGAAAATGGGTGCCTGTTTTTGAGCGCTTGGAACATGTCGGCTGTAATTTCCAATTCGTATATTTTTGAAGAGAAAGAAGTTTTCAATCAAGTAATATCTTACCACATCAGTTTCTTGGGATTATTTATTCAACAATTTGCAAATTAAATTCGAAATTTATTAATAACATATTTCAAATTGGATGTTTACATGTTCGAAAGACATTTCCAACTGAACGAATAAAGTTCGAGAAAGATTTATGAATGATTCAGAGCATAGACAATAGTGGAAACTACGAAGCAGTGAAACCAATCGAGAAATCAACTAATTTGTAAGTTAGTCAAGAAATGTTAGAGAAATACATTTCCCTTTCCCTTGCATCGAATATAATTTGAGTAACAATGCAGAAATGTCTTTAGAGATTATAATTTTCTGAAATTAAATGTAACCCGTTCACTTAAGTACCTATTTAAGTATCAACAATTATTAATGAACAAAATTATAATGTCTAATCTAAACAACTCGTCATTAACTATAATACGAATTATTAATAATGTTACTCGTTATATAAATCAACAAATGTATTGCACATGGAATTTGACGCATTCTTAGTTAGTTTTTACATATTATGTATCCATAGCCCATAGAGGGCCAAGGCCTACTGTGCCCATCTCAGTTTTCTTGACCTTGGGTTCTGGGGTCCAGGAGCAGATGTTTCGGTTAAGTGGTCAGCCAAACGCAAAACTCCTAGTGTTTAGTTCCCAAGCACGCTTGGGTCCGAGGATCGAACCCAGGACCTGTAGGACGAGAGCGCGAGGCGCTACCACTCAACCACCGGGCGTCACATATTATATATACACTGTAAAAAAGACTTTCCTACCTAAATTACAGTCAGTGTCCAAAAAAATTGTTCCAGTTACTGATGGTAAAAATAAGTTCATGCTTGTAAAGCGACAATGACCATAAAAATACAGGTCTGCCAGTAACTTATTTTCGTAAAGTATGTGATACTTGACCGCAATTTATATTATGCTTGAAAAGTTATCTCCAGATCAGGCCTTCACAATTTTTAAGATTTAGGTGATTTGTTTAACGAATTATGTAGAAACGTCAAACGAGGCGAAGCTCACGTAGTGCTGCCATGTGTCGAGAAGAGCAAAATTTACATATTCGTAGTTTGTTCGTACTGGTGAGTCCTCTTGACTACCAAAAAATTAATGTCAGGTTCTCTCTTGAACAGGACAATGTTAAAAGTCTACCGTTGCTCGCCACCTTCTTGCGCTGGAGACAATGGGCATCCGTTACCCGGAACCGCTCCAGCTGAGAGTTTTTACAGATGGCTCTTTCGATCCGGATCAACCAAATGCTGGAGCTAGTATCTTTTGTAATCTCTTCTCCTTTGGTGCCCAAGTGGGTGCCACTAGATCTGCTTTCGACGGGGAAGTTGTTGCTATCCGTATTGCTCTCGAACAGCTTTTTTGCTTTATTGAGTCTTTTTCTAATGTGGTTACCCTTTCAGACTCGAAGGCGGCGCTTTGCTCGATTGAATCTATGCATTGCTCTTCCACTATCGACGTTCTAAAATATCAGGATGCGATACGCAAACTCCACCAATTTGGTAAAACTGTAGCCCTACAATGGATTCCCGGGCACTGTGATATTGCAGGAAATGAGAGGGCTGATGTTTTGGCAAAGAGAGGCACAAGAATTCTCCGGGCTCTTAGTAGCCCAGTCCCCTTTTCAACTTTAAAAAGGATTATTAGATCAAAAATCAATGGGGATTTCCATCACCAACTGTCAGAAAGGGTAAAAACCAAGTGTGGAGAGATCTTCGACAGAACACCATTTCAGACTGGCCGCGCTGCGAAGCGGTGGCTCAGTTTCGCCTACATATACCGGACATGACTGCCTAGCCGCGCACCTGCTTCGTATAGGGCTGGCACCTGATCACTATTGTTCTCTGGAAGAGCCAAGCTGTTTTGGATGGCAGCCACATCCTGTGCTGCAGGGCCCTCCACGGGTCGTCGTCTACCGAGCGATATTGGGAAGCAAGAGCGCTCCTGAGGAAATGACTTTTTACTTTCTTGTTTTGTTCCGGTGTTTTTGCTTTTTAACATGACAATTCACCTCTGCCATATGAAATAAATAAATAAAAGTTTGTTTGTGGACACCAATGTGGAAGTAGTACGAGAGAGATTTCCTAGAGTGCCAGCTGAGATCGAAACAATGACCTTCAGGTCCATAGCTTGATGCTGTAACTATCATGGAACAGGATGTGCACCCTCAAATTGAGTTAAGAAATCTTAATAAGCTGGTAGTTTAGTTTAAGAGTCAACTCTACTAATTTTAGTGAAGTTCGTTACCATTACGGGTACTGCGCATTTTTTTCTTCAAAAAGAGCTGGCTGCATAAATTAACGACCTATACTACGAATTGTATGGGATTTTTTTTAAAATGTAATATCTCACAGAAGTTAAGTAGTTATCGTACGTAATGGATTGAGTAATAGCACTTACTTTTGCATAATTTTTAATCAATTATTGTAGTTTTGATGAAAGAAGGCACGCATAATATTATAATATGCATAATATTATAATATTCATAATATTTATGCACGTTTCCAAATGGTGCGATTTTGTTCTGAATAAGGTATTAAGATTCCTATTGTGTAAAACTGAAAATTTAAATATGCTGGTCATTTACAATTTGTTACATTTAAATAAATTAAAATTTTAAAAAAAAAATTTCGAGACTGACCTGAAGCATTATTAAAGTACAAAATTACAAGAATGTATTTTTGTACAAATAAACATTAATGCACACACAAAATTATTAAATAGTTCTTACCCGTACATCTAAATTTTCACATTCAGTATAGTTTGTCCACTGACCGCGGGACCAAACACCTTGATCATTACATATTCTGTAAGCTACAGCACCTTAAAAATAAAAATGTATTAAACATCAATCTTCTTAAGTTAACATTTTAATTAAAAAGCAACTTTTTAAATTAATTACACACGCTTCTAAGTTATTAATCTATATTTAAAGCATGTATGGGATACTTGAAATAAATTATTTATGCTTCGAACATAAATTATTAATGAAGTCTCACAATCAAAGCTGTTACTTGGTTAAAATCAAGGAAGTAGCAAAGTCTTAAATATTATGAAATTCATATGATCCACATTAGACATTCTTATTAATTTGATTTAAACTACTTCATAAATATAAATAAAATTAAAGGATTCAGAATGAATATTAATTTTAAACAATTGCTCGTTCAAAATTAAAATATCGAAATATTTTTTTTTTATGTTGAAAACCTCTGCATTAATTATTATAAAATGGAAAGTGCAGCGGTTTCTAATGAGTTGTTTGTGAAATATTTGATATTTTGTAATAGTTGATAAATTTAATATTCTTAAATATTTGGCTTAATGCAAGGCGGCCAATAATTTTTAAAATGTTGGAAGCAACGTCTTGTAATTTCGAGAGAAAAGTACTATAAGTACTTCTGAAAATTTAAAAGCATTTAAATTTTTTTTTTAAATGCCATTTTTTTGCAATTCAATATTGCTAGCCTGATTATCTTCCGGTAATCTAGTAAATACAATATTTTTTTTACCCTCAAGAATTTTCTGCTTCGAATTAAAAGTGAATTAAAAAATTAAAGTTTTTTGTATGAATAGAAATGAAGTTAAAAATATTCAGACTATGATCAATCATTTTCTTTTTATTAATTGAGGAATATAACTATACAAGTTACACGGAGAGGAAAACCACGAAAACCTCCCAAGGCTAGCTGAGACCTTGATCCGTCTTCTACTGAGGATATTTAACGACAGCATCGCCGCAAACCAAGAGCAGAATTCGAATCAACCAGAGATTGCTAAGGATCGAACTTGGGTCACTTCATTGAGAAGCCATTCTCTGTTAGGTTTTAGAGCGATTGTATTCTTTTATTTCCACTGACATACAAACTATTTACAAAACATTAATAACAAAAAAAAGAAGGAAAATCGTTTGAGTTGCCTAACAACCAGTCAGAGTTGCAGTTATTATATTTACAAGAGTTGGCAGACGATTTAAAACAATTATTTAAACTAATTCTCCATTGATGTCGGAATATCCTCCCCATCCTGGTCAACCTCAAGAGGGATGACCAATTGTATTCTTTTATTTCCACTGAGATAAAGACTATTTAGAAAACATTAATAACAAGAAAAAGAAGGAAAATCGTTTGGGTTGCCTAGCAACCAGTGGGAGTTGCAGTTATTATATTTACAAGAGTTGGCAGACGATTTAAAACAATTATTTAAACTAATTCTCCATTGATGTCGGAACATCCTCTGAGTCACAGCTTCATGCCACACATTTTTCGGCACTGCGGTGACCAGGATTTATAAATCTCTGTATATATTATATGCAAATGATCGTTACACAAACTTACATAATAAAAATCAATCTGAATTCTAGCCATTCTTTTAGGAGATATTCACAAAAACTAATAAAAAACATTCACAAAAACTAATAAAAAGAATCACAAAAACTTATAAATAACGCAATGAGCAATACAATAGCGGAGAAATAGATGCGAACTAATTGCATTTTAGGATTAAATATTTAAGTGGATTCTTTATTAGAGAAAGGAAAAGAGATATTACCTTTGAGACTAGAATATTGGTGGGATGGTTGTTGAAGAAAAGGAAAGATGGTGTCGCACGGAAAGGAAATCGTCGTCCCTGCCTTTGTTGGCGGCCAGCAGAAGAGAGTGTCCCACACTGGGGGACAACTTTTTTCATCTGAAATAAAAAGGAGACTCAAGATAAAAAGGATGGTGGATATTTTATTAAGTGCTATTTAAACTGGTCTATTGTAAAATTGTATAACCACTCTGTAATTTGAGTAAATTAGTTTAACCATTTTACTTTAAAGCCTCATTAAATTTTATTTTAGGAATAATTAACAAGTTAATATTTCTATAACATGACATTTTCAAAAGCAACAGCGTGTAATTAAGAGAGATATGAATGAGTGATGATCTTTTCAGACTGAACCTCAATCAATTATAGCATTAAAATATTGAAAGGATTTACTCGCTAAATGTCACTTATGAAATTTTCATTAACGAAATTAAAAGGTGAAATGCGTGAAAAATTCTCGGAAATAAGCAGGCTTAAGACGAACTAAGCCTCTCGGGACAGGGATTAGGCTGAGTCAAAATAGTTCTAACCATCGTTCATGTTCTAACCATGATAAGTGAAGAAGTAAGAAAAAGCAATTCTTAAGAATGTTATTTCTCTTTCAATATTTAAGAATTTTATTTCCCTATTTTCGGATGCATTTTGATAAGGAATATATGTAGATATTTTAAATTTATGTATTTTAAATTTATTGTTTATTAAATGTAATACAAATAAAAAACGTAATCTTGAATAACTCTTAATAACGCTTTTGGCAATAAAAATCAAATGCTTTTTTTACATATAAGTATAAAGCTTCACTGGGTTGCAAGCAAGTCAAATTGTAATCCCGGTACACTGTCAAAAATTGTGCTAACACTGTGTTGGATTAAGCTTAACTTACATTAATAATCTTTCTCTGATTGCGTTGAAGCAACATACAAATTTGAATTTTGGATGATAGTACTGTAGAATAACTAATATAGTAAATTCAGCTCTTAAACTTACAACTATATAAAACCTGGTTAATGGTATAAACCCAAGTATACTCTTTAAATTTATTATTGCAAACGTGCACTTTAATTAAAATTTAAAAAGTTTAAACATTCTTTATTAAATTATAAAACCGAGAATGTTATTGTAATGTTGTTGTTTTTAATCAAAATTGCCATTACCTAATTTAAGGCAGAGGGTGCATTTTTTGTCTTCTCAGTGGTGCCATCTATGGCCAATAATACGAATTCAGTCATACACACGTCACTGCCCGTTTATGAGGTAGACACATTAATACATCTATTCATTCATTCATAGATCGTAATTATGGACTGAACCAGAGAAAGATCAATCTCCAATTCAGTACTCCCAGATGTATAATTTCTTATGGGAATAAAGAGGACTTTGCGACACGCCAGATTTAATGTGCGCCAAGCATCATTTACGACACGGAGAGTCTTCGGCCTGCGGGTATCGAACTTACGAACTCTTGAACATGGGCCCAACGCCTTACCAGCCAGGGTGTCCTGGCCACCGAGAATGATTCATAAAAAAATATTCTGTAACTGTATATATATATAATTAATATTCTGTAACTTCCTATTTTATACTTTTACTTTTGCTGAGAGTTGTCATACATTTCATTTTAATTGAATAAATATGAATTTCAGAAAATATAGTAAATAATATAGATAAATATACGGATTTCATTTGTAAAAAAGTTTTTTCCAAACATTAGAATTTTTTTTTTGTTGNTTGCGTTGAAGCAACATACAAATTTGAATTTTGGATGATAGTACTGTAGAATAACTAATATAGTAAATTCAGCTCTTAAACTTAGAACTATATAAAACCTGGTTAATGGTATAAACCCAAGTATACTTTTTAAATTTATTATTGCAAACGTGCACTTTAATTAAAATTTAAAAAGTTTAAACATTCTTTATTAAATTATAAAACCGAGAATGTTATTGTAATGTTGTTGTTTTTAATCAAAATTGCCATTACCTAATTTAAGGCAGAGGGTGCATTTTTTGTCTTCTCAGTGGTGCCATCTATGGCCAATAATACGAATTCAGTCATACACACGTCACAGCCCGTTTATGAGGTAGACACATTAATACATCTATTCATTCATTCATAGATCGTAATTATGGACTGAACCAGAGAAAGATCAATCTCCAATTCAGTACTCCCAGAGGTATAATTTCTTATGGGAATAAAGAGGACTTTGTGACGAGCCAGATTTAACGTGCACCAGGCACCATTCACTGCACGGAGAGTTTTCGGCCAGCGGGTATGGAACTCACGAACTCTTGGAGGTGGGCCCAGCTCCCTACCAACCAGGCTGTCTTGGCCACCGAGAATGATTCATAAAAAAATATTCTGTAACTGTTTCTTTGAAGAAAATGGGTGTAGATTCAATTTCATTGTTTTTAAACAATCGAGATTTCCACAGAGTTTTATATTTTATACCTTTACTTCTGCCGAGAGTAGCCCTATATTTCATTTTAAATGAATAAATATAGACTTCAAAAAAGATAGTAACTAATATAGATAATTATATGGATTTCATTTGTAAAATTTTTTTTTTTTAAATGCTAGATTTTTTTTTTGTTGATAAATTTCAGTTTTAGAGTAAGACGGTTAGTAAATAGGTTTTCTTTTTAGACCTCTCATTTTTTCTAAATAAATTAATTTATGAAACGATTTTCTAGCAAATTTTGATAAAAAAAAAACTATAATTGAAATTGATAAGTAACACCTGAAAATGAAAAAAATTTTCTAAATTTTTTTTATTACACAAATATGATTTGAAATTTACTGAAACTTGCATTTAACTGAAATTTAATATTTGCGGTTTCATCTATTGTGACCAGTTGAATTTAATAAATTAGAAAAATATAATAAATTAAAAATAAGATAAAATAAAATAAAATAAAATAAAATTAAATTAAATTAAATTAAATTAAATTAAATTAAATTAAATTAAATAAAGTCTTATGAGTTTGTGTTTCGGAAGATTTTTTCGGGTCTCTAAAAATTATACGATGCTTTTTAAAAGATCAATATAAACATTTAACGAATAAACACTGCTTCCAAAGATTTACTTAGCCAATGAAAATCTCCCTTTTTCACCGAAAAGGTGAAAATAAAATTAAACCCATTATGTTTTAAGTCGGCCTTTTTAGAAATTGTTTTGGTTATGTAAAAAGCATATATCACTTTTTGAAAGACCACTTTAAGCATTTAAAGAAGAAATACCGCTTTCAAAGATTTACTTAGTTAAAGAAAATACCACTTAATCTTTCAAGTAGTGGATATTACATTAAATGACTTGTAAGTCAATCTAAATCTAAGTATCTTCAAAATCTAAGTATCTTCAAAAAAGTTGCATTTAACTAAATGACAAAAAAAAAAAAAAAAAAAAAAAAAAAAAAAANAAAAAAAAAAAAAAAAAAAAAAAAAAAAAAAAAAAAAAAAAAAAAAAAAAAATCCGAAAAAAGGTGTAGTTATGAAAAGGCATGAATAGTTTTAAAAAAGGGTATGTTTCACTAAATGATATAATTATTTTCGAAAATGAACACTTATTTCATTAAATGCGATAAATTTCGAACAGAAAAACCTATTTTTAAATGACATAAACATGCTATAATATTATTAGACACCAGAATTTTAAACACCAGTAAAAGTAAAGAGGGTATTCACATATGACTAAAAAAATCACCAGGCCACAAAACAAAATAATTCGGAAAGAGCAACGTAATTACGCTTTTATAAATCTGTCAAAAGTTCGATAATTCCAGTCCATTATCGTTTTATGAAAATGGAAAAAATACCACATATTATTTAAGTAAAACATTGGATTAATTCGCAAAAATAGAGTCATGAATTTTAATAAGTTTTTTATGCATTATTCAATACATTCACTGAATATTTAACGTTGAGATTTTCAGTCAGTGTTAATAAAGTGAAAAGAGGCGCCACGCTTGTAAAAGTTCCGGCTAAATGGAAATTTTTCCCGGTGATCCGAGATGCCGAAACCGGGAAAAGGAAATGGAGCCCGTATGGCGGTTGATCTGCAAGGCAAATATAATAGCGTGGGAGGGAGAAATAAACAAAAAATCATGGAGGAATGGATAGTTTCCAACCAAAATAAAGTAATAGAGGGAGTTTTTTTTGTACATGAATCAGGAATAAATATGTAGATTGTATAATGTCTAAACTAAATTTGTCGGAAAAGAATTAAATACATTTAACTTAGAGAATAAAAAAAAGATCAAAGAGAATATAATATCTCTTTTTTCCTAAGTAATAAAGTTTCTAAATTATTAAAAATCTTAATTTTTGTTGTACCATAAAAATACGATAATCTAGATTTTTCATTAAAATATAGCTGTTTATATCTTTTTGAAAGCATTAAAAGCATTTTAACTTAGAGAATAAAAAAATATATCTCTTCTTCTTTCCTAAGTAATAAAGTTTTTAAATTTCTAAAAATCTTAATTTTTGTTGTACCATAAAAATATGATAATCTAGTTTTTTCCTAAAAATATAGCTGTTTATATCGTTTTGAAAACATTAAAAGCATTTAACTTAGAGAATAAAAAAGAGGAAAAAAATATATAAAATTTTTTTTCCTAAGTAATAAAGTTTTTAAATTATTAAAAATCTAAATTTTTGTTATACCATAAAAATACGATAATCTAGTTTTTTCATTAAAATATAGCTGTTTATATCTTTTTTGAGAGCATTGAAAGCATTAAAAGCATTTAACTTAGAGAATAAAAAAGAGGAAAAAAATATATATCTTCTTTTTTAAGTAATAAAATTTTTAAATTATTAAAAATCTAAATTTTTGTTAAACCATAAAAATATGATAATCTCGTTTTTTCATTAAAATATAGCTGCTTAGATCTTTTTGAAAGCATTAAAAGCATTTAACTTAGAGAATAAAAAAAGAGGAAAAAATATATCTCTTCTTTTTTCCTAAGTATTACAATTTTTAATTTATAAAAAATCCAAATTTTTATTAAGACATAAAAATGTGATAATTAACCATATTTTCTCATAAAAATAAAACTGTTTTTGAATATAAAATTTAACTAATAGTTATTTCATAATAA